AAAAAAGGAATCTCTTAATTTTAAGTTACCGTTCTAGAAGTCAAGAAAAATGTTGGTTTAAATGAGATACTGATTTATGACCATCAGATTGGCAAACCTAAGAAGGTGAATATACCAAGTACTGTGGGAATAGGGAAAAGAGCATGATTTATGTCCTGCTGGAAGAGAACTCACTTAATAAAATTAGGTGTGGAAATCTGCTAGCTCTAATCCAGCAATCTCAATCTTGGGGTATATTAAAAATAAATAAATAAATAAAAACCCTTCACTGCCAACTCAAAGCAACCCTATAGGACACCGTAGGGCTGCCACTGTGAGATTCCAAGACTGTTATCTCTGTGCTGGAATAGAAAGCCCTGTTTTTCTACCTCAGAGCAACTGGTGATTTAAACCGAACTGATGACCTTGCAGTTAGCAGCCAATACATAACCGCTATACCGCCAGGGTGCCTCTTTGGGATATACTGAACTAAGTAAAAAAGTACTGCTACTCCGGTTCACACGGGCATGGGTTTATTTATATTCATGTGTGTGTTTGTGAACACATATATTTTTACACATTTCTGTTATCGATGGATGGCTGCAGACAAGTTCCCTCAGTAAAACACTGGTCTTACAGTCTCAGTAGGAGGAGCCTTCAAAAAAGCCAAAGAAAACAATATGGCCACCAGATAATAAGCCTGGAGCCTGGAGAAACCTCCTTAGCAACTACCAGAGAAGTTCCACTATGAAGAATAACTTATAATTCATAGGAATAAGAGCTGGAGGGGCTACATGGAGACCCATACCAGCACTGAGATGCTTCCACTGCCATCAGATCTACAAGACTTTTCACCCAGCAGTCTGCGATCTTCTTGCATTTGGTACCATTGCATGTGCTGCGTGAGTCTGAAGAAGAATTTATGGACTAGTATCGGACATATGGGTGAATATCACACTTATGGGCTTAATCTGGACTGGGCTGGGAAGTTTCCTCAATATACAATTGCTGTTTGATATAGAGCTCTCTCTTATATATACATGAGTATCAATGAATTTGTTTCTCTGGTGGACCTGGTCTAACAAAACCACTGACCAGGGGCACAACACAACTGATATTTCTTTCCTGGCCCCTGAGGCAATCCAGTCAGCCAAACCTCTTAGCAAGCTGGCCTTGGGAAGCCGTGGTAGACAACTGATTGTGTGGGCAGCTTGATAAAGCAAGAATTACTCTAAATTCAAAAATATCTTCCTCATTCTTTTTAATAGCTGCACAATACATCATACGGCATTGCATGGATTTACTTATTATTTTTTGGCCATTTTTAAAATTAAATACTTTAATTAAATACAGGGGTCTTACTACAATCCATACATTCATCCATTGTGTCGAGCACATTTGTACATATGTTGCCATCAGTTTTTCAAAGCATTTTCTTTATACCTGAGCCCTTGGTATCAGCTACTCATTCTCCCCTCCTCCCCCATGAACCCGTGATAAGTTATAAATTATTATTTTTATATCTGAAATCGTCCTTTGTCACCCTTCACCCACTTTTCTGTTGTTCATCACCCTGGGAGGGGGTTATGTGTTGATTCTTGTGATCGACCTCTCCTTTCTCCCCACACCTTCCCCTTATCCTCCTGGTATCTCTATTATCATTGTTGGCCCTGAGGGCTTATCTATCCTGGACTCCCTGTGTTTTGGGCTCTTATCTGTACCAGTGTACATGTTCTGGTCTAATTTGATTTGTAAGGCAGAATTGAGGTCATGATAGTGGGGGTAGGATGCATTAAAGATCAAGAGGAAAGCTGTGTGTTTCATCGTTGCTATACTGCACCCTGTCTTGGCTCATCTCTTCCTTGCGACCCTTCTGAGGGGGTGTCTACTTGTCTACAGATGGGCTTTGGGTCTCCACTCCTTTCCCCCCCCACCCCTGCCAATTCACATTGGTATGATTTTGTTCTGAGTTTTAGATGCCTGATACCTTAACCCATCAACACCTCATGATCACACAGGCTGGTGTGCTTCTTCCACGTGGGCTTTGTTGCTTCTCAGCTAGATGGATGCTTGTTATTTTCAAGCCTTTAGGACCTCAGATGCTGTATCTTTTGATAGCCGGGCACCATCAGCTTTTGTCACATTTGCTTATGCAAACATTTTGTCTTTGGCGATAAGCAGCCATTGTCCTATGTATGTACATTTAGGTTATTTCCAGTATTTGGAAAATATAAAAAATTGCTGGATATCCTTGCACATATGTATTTTCTTATTTGGGGAGGTATAGTTTCAGGTAGATTCCTATATGTAGAATTGCTATACAGTTTTGCTAGACAAATGCTAGGCTTTCCTCTAAATGGGCACACAAGTTTGCATTCTCATAATGTCTGAAAGTGCCCTTTCCCCCACAGTCACTTTTAATTTTCACTAGAGAGGTGAGAATGTACATTTCGCTTTTGCCTTAATTTGAATTTTCCTCAATAAGTTTGAAAGATTTTTTCGTTTGCTTTAGGGCTATTTATATATCTTTCTTCTGAATTATCCTTCCCCATTTTTTTCTATTAAGTTTTACAGTTCTTTTGTTTCTCTAAGTTTGGGATATCTTAGAATTCATGTGTTTCGGGGAGAGGGAGTTGAGATGCAAAAGTAATTTTTTTATATCAATATTTCTTTTCATTGCTTCTGAATTTTAAGTCATTTTGAAAATATCTTTCTCTACATCAAGGTTTACTTATTTTTGCAAGAAAATGATTACTGTATTTATTCTGGTTGGCTATTATAAAGAATCAATTTTTGTTTCATAAAGCTTTTAAAAATGTACTCATGTTCATTGTGAATACAGTAAAGTACAAAATAACAGTAGTAACAAAATAACAGGTGATAGAATTTAGTAGTCAGTTAAAAGTAGAATTTAAAAACATAAAAAAGGTAAGAAAATAGTAAACTTAATGTGTCAAAATCTTGGTATGGGGAGGGGAGAGAAAAATCAACAAAATAAACCAAATACTACCTTATTCTTGAGGGAAAAGGGCGAGAAAGCACAAACATGTAAAATAACAATGGAACATAAGAAATCAAAACCCTCCTTTTTGTCTTAAAAGCATTTATAATCTCACAAAATTGTACACTTGCTAATAACTGTGCATTAGAATAAAAACACACTCTGCAACAGCTTCAATCACTGGCTCCTTTTCATACAGGCAAAATCTGACCCAAAGAGCTCCTACTCAGAAACACCGTCTTAACCAGTCTAGCTAAAGAGATAGGCCCATAATTTTTCAGTTTTAATATTTAATTATGAAAATTTTCAAACAGAAAAATATAGAACTCCTAATATAGCCAACACTCTGCTTCAATAAATCTAGTCTTGACTAATCTTATTTATAACCACCCCGCTTCCTCTCATCATTTTGAAGCAAATTCCAGGCCACCTTTTAATCGGAAAATGTTCTAGAGTATCTATCTTAAAAAGAGCTTTTGATAAATAATCACATTATCATTAGTTCACCTACTGAAAATGTAACAGTAATTACTTGATATTAAATCTCTAATCAGTACTAAAATATCCCAGTTGCTTCCTACATGAATTTTTACAACAGTTCGTTTGACTGAGGGTCCATATAAGGTGCAAAAATTAAATTTGTTTTATGGTTTGTCCCTTTAAATCTACAGGATCTCATTCACCACCACCCTCCTCGTTTATCTATTAAAATTTTACTTTGTGAACAAAGGGTTTGCTTATACTATAGAGTGCTTTCAATCCAGATTCAACTTATATATCCCTATGTGGTTGTGTAGCAAAATGCTCTTTCCCCTGTAACTGATACTTAGAAAAAGAGATTTGATATAATTCAGCTTTTTCTAAGAATTTTTTAAAGAATATTTCAAAGGTGGCATATGTCTTTGCATTAGGACTTTAATAATGTCTGATTGTCTTTCTTCTGTGATGTAAGCAGCAACTGGCTCATGCCTAGATCCATTATTTTATCCAGGGTTATAAATAATATTAAATTCTTCATCTACTAGTGGAAATATTTCTTCCTACACAGAGAAACGTCCCTTGATTCATTTGGTTACCTAACAGTAGCCACTAACTAATTCAAAATAACTATTTAAATTAAAACCTTTAAGTGCTTACTCATAAATTAGTTGAAATACAAGGAGGGCTTTTGTCTTATTTTTCATATGAAAATGATTGTTATTGTTATAAGCACTGGATTTTATTTTCAATTCTGTTATATTCTTGTATAGGTTTCTGTTACCTAGTAATTATATAATTTTCTGGACAGAGTTCTGTTCATTTATTTTATCTAAATGGGTATTTAAAATTCTCAAATGAGGGAGTAGAAAGACTGGAACACTCATATACTGATGTTGAGACTATTAAACTGTACAACAACTGGAAAAGTATATAGCGTTTCCTTAAACAACTATGAAAAGAAATGCCATGACCTAGCAATCCCTTTACTCGGTATATACCATAAAGTAATAAAAGCTGTAGCATGAACAGATATTCATACGCATGTTCATCACAGCATTATAACAAGGAGATGGAAATTACCTAAATTCCTATCTATGGAGTAATGGATAAATAAACATTATTACATAAATACAATGGATACTTCACATCACTAATAAATAATGATAAAACTGTGAAACACTTCATGGTGAATTTTGAATACATTACGCTGAATGAAGTTAGTCAAAAGACAAATACTGTATAAGACCACTGTTATAAAAATATAAAAATCAAGGTAATTATATTTTACAACCCCCCCGAATCTCAAATGAAAGGACCAATAGAAGGCCTCCAGTCCACACCTTATCTTCACGATAATAAACTGCAACTAATAAGCAACTTATCAGAAACTGTGAAAGCTACAAGACAATGAACTGAAATTTTTAAATGATTAAAATTAAAGTTAAAAAACAATCCATAAATAAATGGAAGCGAGGATTAGCTTTAACAGTTAAGACTGAAACAAAGCATGCATGTCATCAAATGCATCTTCTCAAAGCAAATAAAAATCCCTAGATTTAGAGGGTATCCAAACCTGAGTGTGCACCAATTCTGAATCAGT